AAAAAAAGTTTCAGGAGAAAAATAAAACAGTACAACTGTTCTTATTGAAATTTTAAAAAATGCATTATTTGATGACTACAGCAAGATATATAGCCCCAGCTAGGTCCTACTTTATAGTATGTTCATTCGTCTCACTGAGGTTTATGCTCCGTGTGTTTTTAAAATTTTAATTCTAGGGCACCAGCAGTTAGCATAATGGCTATGTTGCTGAACTCCATGTAGGTTTGAGTCCTAGACCCGGTGGCTTTAAATCACACCACACGCGTGTGCGTGCGTGCCCAAGATCCCAAGAGGAGAATGGAGGAGAAGAGATTGCCGCATGGCCACCCCCCCACCCGGGGGTGATTTCTCGCTTTCTGTCTCTGTCTCTCTGACGAGCGCATGCACCCTATAACAAAAACCTCTCCCCCCATCAATTTTTTTTTTCATTCCAGCACTTGAACCACGCATTCAGCTATATGGGACCCAGCTGCATTAACCACCACACCACTGGCTGACCCTCAATTAAATGTATTTAAATAGGTGTTAGATTGCCTACTCATGTCCTATAAAGTCTTAGTCTTATTTCTTAAAGGAAACTCACACGATATAATACAGTATTCTAAAATAGTCAAAAGGGTAAATCTTCTTCACTTTCCTCTTGTAGAAATACCCTTTCTTGGGGCCAGCAGGTGGTATGGTGGTTGGAGTGCTTGACTCCGTCATGGCCAACCGTGATTTGAGTCCTGGATTTGGCGGCTTACTTTCTCACTTGTTCTGTCTCTGGTCGAATTTAAAAAATAATAAAAAAATCCCTTCTCCCTCTTAGAGTCAACAGGTGCTCCTGACTGCTAATGGACCTTCTTGGTATATTCAGATGTGTGTTTAGCATATTATGAGTCTCAAGTCCTGTGTTTCTCTTCATTCTTTGCCTTGTTTTACACATGTATCTGGTTTGGTAAATCCTTCATGATGAAGAAAACTGTATTATTGATATTGGCTTTTCTATACTCGAAGATACCTGTATACACTGCCAGGTGACTGAAACCTAGTGACTCTTCCTGTTAAATGATTAGAATTGCATCAAATTATTATAATGTTCATGTTTAATATATTGGACCATGGACATATAATTTCCTTTCTCTTTCTACACTTTATATTTTGTAATACTTTTTCTTTTGGTATGTAATAGTTTATATATCATGTAACAAACTGTTTTCAGATGTGCCAGATTATGGCAATTATTAAAAGGTTGAATCCTCACTTTAAAACATTTAAAAATGTTTTAATAGTCAAGAGGTTTTGGTATTTACCACACACTGCTTAATGCATGGTACAAAAAGTAATAAAATGCTTCGATAGCAAAATGTATGTACTTGATCTGTATTTTCTCAGCTGAGTGTGAAAAATGATCATTTAATCCATTAAGGTACTCACAGGTAGCTCTGAGGATTACACATGTTCCATTTGATGGGTAGACTTTAGCATGGTCCCCTGTGAGATGTCACACTGAGACTGTTGTTCCAAGCACTGTATGATAACCAAAGGCACCCACTGGGGTCAGGGCCACTGATAGGGGATTATTGTGGAAGTGGAGCCAGAGCTTATACATAATGGGACAGCATTGTGATTATTTAGTGGTCATTGTGAAAGAAGTGAATGTGTATATTGAGAACACTGTGACCTCACTGTTAGTGTGCTAGGTTTTCATTACTTGAGAAATACTTAGGGGGTGCAGTTATCACAGGGTAGTTAAGTATTTTCTACCTGTCTGGTTGGAAATATCTGTCTCTGAGCATGAAACACAAAGAAAACAGCAGATGGGCCTTCCTTCCTGTGAAGTTTTCCTGAATCCTGGGATGCATTTCTGGGTACACACAGATTGTGGAGTCTGAGGGGAAAAGAGAGTCATTGGTCATAATGTAGCACGTTATGAACAGCTCTGACGATATGTGTGCATTTCTAGCTTCATAAGAAAGAACTTTGACCTTCCATAATAGGTCATTACTATGTATCATTCCAAAGCTCACCATGTTGCTCTTACTTAAGATTGTAATTATGAGCTTCTATGGTAATATTTCCATTAAAATGAGATTACCAAATATTACCAAGGTACCTGATTTATTTTATTTTAGCATACTGTTAGAACACTATGGTGTTTGTACAATGAACACTATGATGTTCCACAATGATGCTCCTTTGATGATATTCCTTCAATGTTGATGTACTAGATCACCAATGTAGTTCTCACAATATGTTGGGTTGCTGGAAAATACATTGGTTTGCAGAGAAAAAGACGTCATGACTTTTCTGGTGACTCAATATTTCCATTGGTAAATGATGTGTAACTATGAATACATTTTTATTCACTTTGTTTAATTCATTTGCCCCATGGTTGTTTGAAAAAAAAATGTGCCCAAATTAAAAAGCAGCAAGGCATACTAACCCATATTCTGTATAGGTATTAGCTAAGAATATAGATAAGCAAGGTCACAAAGTCCAAAATCAAGAGGTGACACATGAATTTAGTGCTGGGACCTTCAATCTGTTTTGAGCCCTCCATTTAGATACTTCTGTCTATATCCAACACTGAAATGTTGTAGTACCTCTCTGAATATAACCGGCCATTTTATCATCTCTTCATTGATGACCAAGTCTTGATTATGTGAACTCTTGGAGAAAAACTCTCCTACTTTAACCAGCACCCAACTCTTATCAGGGAATCTCACAAGGTTCTGGACGTCATACTGTGTCACGTGGTTGTTCTTGTCATCTAAAGATGTGTTGTCCCCAGCGCCGTTTGTAAATTGGATTTTCCTTAGAAATGGGTGAAGCTGGAGGAGAGGCATAACATGGGCTGAAGAGAGATGACCTTTTTTCTTCCTGATCCATACAATCAGAGAGTAATTGGTTTCTATAAGAACAATGTTAGGATGTTGCCCTTATTTTGTCTTACGCCTGGGCTTTAGCGTCTCATGACCAATAAAGTCCTGTTCGGGTACATGGAGGCTAATTCTTATGCACGAAATAGGGTACGACGTGGTTGGATATGTTTATGGAGTTTTTTCATGGTGGTACTAGTAGCAGGAACATGTATGTCCAAACTCACAAAGGTTTATTCATTAAATATGTGCGTTTTTAATATATTTACTATACCTCAATAAAGCTTCAAACAAAGGGGCACCACATAAGGATTTTTCTCTTTATGCTCGTAGAACTTTATTTTGGTGAGAATGTGATTGTCTTGAGATATTGCAGAGAACAATATGTGATAAACATAAACCTCCCATGCATTGTGCTAACTCTTGTATCTCTGGGGACAATGCCACTTTGTTGTAAAAAATGATTAACTCCTTATTGTTTCCATATCTGCTGTTTATGTCTTCAGTTTTATGGAATGGACACATTCTGAATAATTGATATTCCCATTTTTAGAAGTCAAAAAATGGGAGTCCAGCAACGTAACCATTATGCCATCTGCTGTTCCCAATAATGACACATTTCTTCAAAATATTTATATTGGGGGCCAGCAGGTGGTGTGGTGTTTAGGGTGCAGGAGTCCCATGTGGCCTACCACAGTCGAAGTCCCAAACTAGTGGCTTGCTTTCTCAGGTTCCCTTTCTCTGTTTCATTTAAAAAATAAAAATAATGAATAAAATTAAACAAATCTTTAAAAAAATTAGTTATGTCCAGGGCTAGCTAGTGGTGTGGTGGTTTAGATGACTAGAATCCATGTGGCCGACTACACAGATTGAATACAAGACCCAGGGGATTGGAACACACTGGGAGTGTGGGCACGTATTCACAAAATCCATAAAAGAGGAAGAAATGGAGAAGGCTCTGCAGAAAGACCATCCCACCTGGGGAGGATACTTTCTCACTTTTTCTCTCTCTCTTTCTCTGTTGCTCTCTGTTGAGTGCACATGCTTTCATGCAAATTAGAAAAGAAAAAAAATGAATAGTCATGTCTGAAAACAAGTTATTTTTCATAGTCATTTTAAGAATTACATAGAACTCAATTCTGTTTTTGCCCTAGCGTTACATGGAGGGTTTGCGCCATAGCTTATGTATCACTATAAGTGTAATAGTTGGAGTCAGCTGTGGCCATCCTGTAAGTATTTTCTGTGATAGGGTACAGTCTGAGGGAAAGATTAGATTTGACAAACATTTTTATCTTTTGATGTTTTGTCATGAGTTATCTTTAGATATTTTACAGTGTTTCATCCTACACTAGGGAATATTTTTCCTAATACACTTTAGAATGAAATATTAAGCAGCCAGGCTATGAAGGAGCAGCATTGTATGTCCCTAGTTAATATATACCGAGTGTCCGCACTCTATGACTGAAACTAATTGACTAAAGAATATAGAAACAGTATATAGACGTAAATACCAGATATAGTGCGTATGAAAGAGGAGGGTCTGTGGAAGGACATTTAGAAGAAAAATAGGGAGGCAAAGCATTAATGGCACAAAGCAATGTGGTATTATCTATTGAAGATATTTTGTATTTTTATCAACTGTACTAGGGAGAAATGTTCAGCTGTTGAAATATCCATTTTGGAAGCCAAATAATGTGATTGAATGTATAAAAGAAAATGAAATAAAAAAATTAAATTTTTAAAAGAATTAAATATTAAAAACTGCAAATTTTGTCCAAATTGTGTCTCAATAAGTTACTCCCACACACCATCAAGCAATCAATGCATGGCCGCTTACCTGCCAGGGAGGAATTATAGGCTGGTCTACATCTCCTAGAGATATCACTTCTAGGTTTTCTAAAAGCCTTTCATGGAGGGCGTGGGCCACCATATTAACAGCACTATAGACAAAATAACTGGGAACAGACACACTCATCATGTCAGTTTTGTCTGGCATAAACTCTAAGGAAGAATTTGGTTCACAGCATTCAATTCTTCCACAATGTAATTCAGAAAGTGAGCAATAAAACTTGTCAATCCAGAATTTTGTGAAGTAATAGTCATCTGGGTATTGGGAAAAGTTAAGCCTCTTGAGAAAGTGTCTGAAGCCAGGGATTTCCCTCTTGTTGTCTGAAAACAAGAGGCTTCCATGGTAATAGTGCCATTTGTCATCCAAATCATCAAAAACAACATCCCACTGTGATGGGGATGGATTTCCTATGATCCAAACCTTCCCTGCGGTTAAGTGAAAATTTGTTGACATGCCTATGTTCAAGAGACTCCCTAAATCACCATATAATATGTGCACATTTGCAGTTGAAATGATCATTTCAATACCATGGTTTGTGTGCACACCTGTGATGGCAGGGAGCTTTTGTGTAAAGTCCACGCAAATCTCGTTGTTTACCATCTTTGCTTTCAGATCCTGAAGAAATTGATCCCCTTGTATATCATCAGATACAAGGAGAGCCACCCACACCCATCCAAAATGCAGCAACAACCGCACAATACCAGTGGTCAGAAAGGTGTCCCTGGGGGCCATCTGATAAAGTGATGGAAACTGTTTTATATCACTTAGCATGGTATGAAAAGGACCATATGTGACCTAAATGAGAAAAGAAATAACCTTTTATTTTATTGGTATTTGGAATTGACTCCCTTGGGAACAGATTGAGAAGATTCTCTACCTGAGATGATCAGGCAATAGAGATATTGGGGGAAGAGAAAGCCTGCTATAGTGATGAGTGCTGATGAAGACTACCTCGATGCTGAGGGTACATCAACAAGATGGTGATTTTGTCATCTTCACTCCCTGGGTTGCTGGAGAAGTGCTTCCTTACTCCCTCAACCAAAGTTGGAAGTGAATTCTGACCTAGCAAATCTTCACTGTATTAGACTTTTGATTCACTATACTTAATTTAATACCATAGCATAGTCTAAGTCGCCTTACACAATATAATCACTTAACCTTTCTTATTTTCTAAAACATAGATCTTCCAGAACAGAATTCTTTTTAGCCTCCACTGTGTTTAGAAGTGATGGCTTTTCATTGCTGACTGTGTTGGACATGTCCTAACGGAAAAGATTCCTGAGATGGTGAGTTATATATGGAGAGTTTACTGGGGATGCTGTTAGAGTATTTGCCTGCATGGATGTAAGGCAGAACTAGGCAGAGGAAGGAGGTCACCCCAAAGAAGTGTAACAGTTTTAGACAGTCTTTGGGGTCTTAAAACTGGGATATCACAATAATAGGATTTCAAGTAAAGATCAGATGTCCATCGTGTCATCCTTGCCACAGTCATTTTCTTCTGGTTGCCCCACCATAATGCCATATCTTAGGATGGTGCAGATATTTGTACTATGGAAATTTCTTGTGAAGCACACATCTCTGAGTGGTCAACAGTCAATATTTCCAGAAGTTAGACGATGCATACATTGACTGTAGATGGGACTCTTGGTTGACATTCACAGTATCTCCTGCTTCTTTCAGTTCTTCATCATCCTTGTCACTGCTAATAGTATGCCAAGCCAGGGACTTCTTTGAGACTCATCAGTTGATGACTCTCAAGTGGTATAGCAACCCATCTTCCATAATTCTATCAGATAGCAGAAAATGATAGGTGAGATCCAAATTTTACCTTGCAGCATTTAAAATCCACTTACCTGTGGGATTTTGTAGAGCTCTAGAAGGGTTCCAATCTCGGATGACAATGCTGATGTGGTTCCCACAAGGATAGCAAGAGACTGCTTCTGAGTCTGGCAGTTGTAGTTAGGGAGACTCTGCTTCCCTCCAGAGAGCCCAAACACAGCACCCTGCAAGGACCTTCTGTCACTGGGAAAGGTATTGTAGAGATCATAACCCAGGGAATGGTTGGGGAGTAGATGTGGGCTCTTGTTGATTTCCTCGATGGCAAAGAGAAAGGCCAGTACATATTGGTAGTTCTTCCAATACCACCTGAGCAGAGGGAGAACATTGGAAGCAATGGGCAAGTCATGTGATTTAGGGGCAACACTTTAGGCAAGTTAAGAGTCAGGAAGGCTTAGACTCAGCCTGTCATCAGATTCTCATGAATTCATATGGAGCTATGGAGGCAATGTGAATAATGATTACAGGTGCTGTGGGCTGGATAATGGTTTATCCCCAAGTTTTCATGATTTAGAATTTTGTCATAGTGAGTAGTGATTAAATACCTCTAACAGTTCATGTGTTGGGACTTGGTTGTATTGTAAAGGTGTTAGGTGAAAACTTAATCCCTTCATGGTGTGCCACGATGTGACCTTGGATATGATAAAGCACTGGGGTAAGGACTCTTGTGATCGAGTTCTGGTGAATATACAAGGACAGGAAGTAAACTGGCCAAGGCTATGCAGATACAGACCAGAAGGATAAACTTATGTACAGGTGCTCAAGATCCTCCCCTCTGTCATACTCTCACGACTGTCTGATGACCTGATACATCAGGAGGGCATCTATCCATGACCTAGGCCTGGCTTCAAATTGAGGTGGCATGAAGAAAGACTCTGTTGGGGGTGCTTGTCTCTGTCTCCTCCCCATCTCTCTACAATCACAATAGAAATAAACCTAAAATTATATACTAAAAACTTATAAGTATGTATTTATATGTACAAAGTGATTCATGATTTTTTTGAATACAATGTGGAGTGATTAATTAACATGTCCCTTACTACAAATATTAAATTTTTGTGAAAAGTACATTAGAAATTTAGGCTCAGTGATATTGAAACACACTACTCAATTAGTTGCTACGTTCACTGGGCTTACATCCATCTTCATACACCCTTTTGTGGTGGTCATATGTTTCTCCTTAGGTTCATTAGCCAATATACCAGTGTTCTTTGTTTGCCCTATGTTCCGGAACGGTCGGAAGAGGATCTGACTTTCTAGTTCTTCAGGCATTTTGTATGGTTCTTCTCTTAAACTGTGCCCATCTGAGGCATTTTCGGGTGGGTTTTTCATCATTTTGTATGGTTGTATTTTATTTTATTATTATTACTTATTTTATAAAAGGAGTTTTGTTCACACTGCGAATTCCACAAGATGACAAGAGTAAAAAATTTCAGGGATCAACAACCATAGGAGGCCTAAGGCCTCTTCGGCTCAGAAACTTTTCAGGTTGGCAGACATTAAACAGAGTGCAAAGTTTGTCCATCAGCCTTGTGACATTGCCTAAGGATTCTCACCTAGCTCCTGACATTGGCCTCCTCGGTAAGACAGGTGACTCCTTTCCACAAGAACGCCTGATATCAGTTGTGTGGTTAGCCATTGATCATCACTTTAAAAAATATTTTTTATTTAATTTTCTTTATTATTATTATTTAGATTTGCTGTAGTGCACATATGCTCACCAGAGAGAGACAGAGGGAATGTGAGAAATGTAGCCATGAAGTCCAAGACTCAAACCGTGATTGGCCCTGTGGGAGTCCAACACCTTAACCACCACACCACCTGCAGGCCCCCATGATCATCCCTTTCTGCCACCCTAACTCTAGTAGAGTGAAAACAATAAATAGTTGTCAGCAAAGGAGCAAATGAACATGCATGAAATCATGGATGTAGCATGTTCCCTTTCCTATTTTGACGAATGATAGAGAAAACTCAAACTATCAATAGCTAGAAGGAACGGTTATTGGGCAGGCAGAGGCCCTCTCACAAAGGAGAGACAAGAAGGCTGAAAATGTACCCAGAAGATCACCATCCTCACTATTGGCTCTCTCCAGTGCAGGGACACCTGAAGTGACAAGTTTTAAATGATCCCAAATGAAATAATTAAGGTTAGAATCTCCCCATGGAAACAAACTATATGTTGCTTGCCCCTTTACTGAAGACAAGGGAATGGAGATATACAGTGTTTTACAAGCCTAATCCACTGTTGCAACCAACGAAGCATGCACAGAACACAGCCTTCTGCTGAGAACCTTCATAGTGCACCAGCGTTTTGCATTTATTTGAGACCCATACCCAACCGATTCAGCCTAGATTTAGTGCCACAGCTTTTTTCCCAGAAAAGTTCAGAATCATGATGAAAGAGAATGGTATCCTCCTCCTTTGAGACATGATGTTGATTACTTTCACCTCTCAAGATCCTGAGACCAAACGGCTCATGCTTGACAAGATTTAAACACGGATTTTATGTGGGTTATGATCTGCTGAGTGGGGGAGATGCCAAACACCCATGGCCTCTCTGGCAGGCACATTCAACAATGCTCTTTGTCAGCAGTGGACACCCAGAGCAAGCCTCTTTTGATATTGACTTCATAACAATGGGTTGACATCTATTATGGTAGTGGAGAAATCCAACACCATCAAACCAAACTTTCTAGGGACTGAACTTGCCGAGCAGGCTGCTGGAGTAGAGTGATCATATTGATTTCTCCTTACTCTCTTGAAGGGAGTGGGGAGAAATTATAGAAAAGGAAAAGAAGGTAGTAGAAAGATAAGGAGGGGGCAGGCAGGAGGTAAGTTGTTTAAGGGAGCTGGCTCCCACGTGGCTGTGCGTACGATTTGAGTCTCGGACCTAGCAGCTTGGAAAGCACACTGGGTGTGTATGCATGTATGCCCCAAATCCCAAGAGAAGAATGGAGAAAAAGGGATTGTGGTGTGGTCATTCTTTCTGGGGAGTGATTTCTCACTTTCCCTCTTTCTCTTTCTGTATTTCTCTGGTGACCACACACTCTTACAGCAAAAATTTAAAAAAAAGAAAAAGAAAAAAAGGAGGCAACACATCTCTATGTCACTTCTGTGAATGCTTTTCATAATTATACACACAGAGAGAAGGCAACTACAAGCACGCACATTTATAAATGCACTTACACCAACAACTAAGAACTTACGAAATAGCTTCCAGTTCTTCCCTTGGCCTCATCGCAGCAGAGAGCCGCAGTATGTCATAATCCTGCTTCACAGTGTAAAGGGGGAAAAATCCACCCAGTATTAGATTTCCATCTTTGTAGACACTTTGGTTGACATATTGAAAACAGGTTTCAAAAGCAACTGCACAGTGTGTATAGACAGGTTGCAGGAGAAGCAAGAGGCAAATGAAGGCAAAAGTCATCTTGGGGTCTGCCCAAGTAGGAGACAGAGCTGTGTCTAGGCTGAGTCAGGAAGGTGGAGCTGGGTGGTATCTGTAGACTGAGAGCTCTCCAGTGAGAACTGATTTCTTCATAGGGCACAGCTGTTTTCCACCCTCACATATGCTCTCAACCGGAGGAAAGCATGTGAGAGACTAGCATACCAGGTGGGCACGGTCAGAAGCAAAAAGGAGGTATTTATTATATAAGGGGTCATGGCTATGAGACCTTGCCCTCAGTGTCACCATGATCGGAACAGTGCCAGCTTCCTGGTCTTTTCAGTGCTTCATTTGGTCCCACCCAGGAGCTGTGGGTATCCACTGCCCTGAGGCTCTGCACCTGTCACCCTCCACTCTGGTGGAAAACAATCTCAAAAACATGTTTTGGACTTCCCTCTCCCTATGATTTCATCATGGTCCACCAAGCCTTTGGGGACCACGTCATCATGAGGCAATGAGCTCTGTGATCCTGTGCTCCCAAGGGGCTGTGGGTGGTCATCTCAGAAGACTGCGTTGAGGGATTTGGCCGGGTTAGGAAGAGCAGGTGGCAGAATCAGCAAAATATCTCACAGCAGAATTCCAGATGATGCTTCAGCAAGACTGTGAAGAGTGACATCATTTGTTGGTGACCCCCAGTAATCCACAGAAGGCCTTTTATTCCATGTTGAACACCACTCCTAGTTCTACAGGATCTTCATGGAAGAAATGAGCTTCATAGTTTACAAGGGAATATATTGCATGGAAGATTAAACTATCTCCCACCCTCAACTCTACTAAACTACTTACCCTTTAGCATGCTGTTTCTTGCCCTCCATTCATAATTCTTGTAGCAAGCCCTCATGACTGCATGGTTTAATATGTGGCACCTTGAAAACAATTCTATTCTCCACTCAATATTGATTTCCTGTTGTCATATCTTTATTCTTTTAAAAATTATTATTATTATTTTATATATTCAATCACTATACATCACTACAACTTGTAAAATGAATTTACCCAACATGAATACTCTGCACAGCAGTCCAGTTACAGATATCATAGACGTTATCATCAATAGACAAGCCTCCAATTCTGTGTCCCTTAAATATCTTACTGTATATTTTTCTCTTTGATTCCTTTCTTCTTACTCTCCCCCATCTCCCACCTCTTTTCACACTGTCTTCTGTATCCATAACCACTTTTCATGCTTCTACAAGTCTGTGAGAAAAACTTCCTTGATAGAATTTTACTTTATTTAGTAATTTTTTTTTGGTAGAGATTTTTGCTATAGGGCACGTGTGCTCGCCAGAAAGAGAGAGACAGGCAGAGAGCGAGAAATCCCCCCCAGGGGGTATGGCCATGCTGCAATCCCTTCTCCATTCTCCTCTCAGATTCTTGGGCATGCACGCACACGTGCCTGGCATGAATTCAAGCCACTGGGTCTGGGATTCCATCCACATACGGTTGACTCCATGAGAGTTCAGCAATATAGCCACTACCCATCTGCTGGTCCCCCTATTTAGTAATTTTTTAAGTTACATGCTTACAATGTGTGTATTTATATTATAAAAGAAGATGTTTTCATATCTATATATCTAAGTCTATATCTATATCTATATATATTTCAATGGCTATATCTAACCATTTAACATATGCATTAATTTATACAATTATGTATGTGTGTGTGTGATGAGAACACTTAAAATCTACTCTTGTGGGGTCAGCAGGTGACACGATGGGTTAATGTGCTGGATCCCACATGGCCAACTGTATGGTTCAAGTCTGAGCCAAGTGTGTGCTGTACTCCAGTCACATGAGCATGTTTATATATGAATTCTCCCCACCCCTATTGTACTCAGAACTGAGCCTAATCATTGTCTCTCACTGAAAATTCTCATTGCCATGTTCCTTATACATACTTCCATGCTCTTTAGAACACTTTATATTATGCTTAAAGAATTTGAAGCAGTATAGCCCTAGTTTTGGAATTTAAAAGTATTTTTATCTATAGAAATGGTCAAATTGTGTTACTTTTTCATAAACACTTGATATAAAGATGTCTCCATTCATATATAGGATGGATCTGGTATCGCTAAGCAGGTCTACCATACTAATTGAGCTATGGAGAGTTGTTCAGTGCTTAATTTTATTTGCTTCATATGTCATAAACTGAGAGAGATGAATTCAATTTTTCTTTACTTTAAAATTTTTGACTTTTTTGGGCTGATTTTCCTTTATGAAAGAACGTTTTATTCAACACTGGAGTATTGCATAGTTTTTCAAATGCCAAGTAGTAACCCATAGTGTAAGAAAGGGGATTGATAGTTGCTTGGATAAAAGTGATGGATATAAAAAAAAATACAACGGCACTTTTGGAAGGATGCATATGTTCATTACCTTCAGCGAGGCTATATATTAATGGGTGTATATGTGCTTCAAAACATATAAAACTATACACTATAAATGTGTGCAGTTTATATTATGTCAATGATGCCTCAGTTAGGTGGTTAAAAATAAAACAACTTGGAATAAAATCTATAAGCAATAAAAGAGAAATAGGAAGAAATCAACAACTGTATTATAAACACAAACTAGTTAGAAGTTAATGAAATAGCGGAAGAGCTTTTTTAAAATAATGAATACTATCTATATAATAACAAAAATGTGTGTAAATTAGTAGCTTGTAAAGAGCCACAATGTTATATTTCATTGTTTGTTGACCAGTCACAAATGTAATCATGTTGTAGCTCAATGTTTCTCAAAAATGGTCACCTTCCAGACACATTTCAGGAGATTTTTACTATCCACACATTTGAGCCCAAGTCTTGAGCTTTTGGTTCTGTTGGTTTAGGCAAGAAGGTAGGGCTGGAAGTGTGTATTCCTTAAGAGCTCCCAGAAAACTGATAAAAGAATTAAAGATTAGAAAGGGCCAGCAGGTGGTGTGGTGGTCAAGGGCACTGGATTCCCACACAGCTGACCACTGTTCGAGTCCCAGACCTCGAGGCTTCCTTTCTCACTTTCTTTCTCTCTCTTTTTCTCTCTCTCTAACTCTGTCCCTCTGTGGTCAAATAATAAATAAATAAATAAATAAAACTAAATAAAATAATTCTTTAAAAAAGAATGAAAGATTAGGGATTCTTGTATCTGAGCACAATCCATTTATTTATTTTAATTTATTTTATTATTATTTTAAAAATTTTGTAAGAGGGTGCTTACATTCACTGGAGAGAAAGAGAGAGGGAGGGAGCGAG